TATGTTTAGTAATTCTCACATCCTTCTTACTTTGTATACAAAATAAAAACATTTAAACTTAGGAACCAGGTCATCTTTCACTTACTGGTAACAGAATTGTGCAAACTTGCAAATCCCTGCGCTATTAAAATAAGCAAACCCAAACTGCAGAATTGTCTTGTTTTCATGCCTGATATGAGCTGTCTGTATGAGAGTCTCAGTATTATGTCCACATCAACGTTACTCTTTTTTACTATGTTTATACAATGTATTATCCTTCCTTCATAATAATCTTTGGTTTACATCATGTTTTACCATAATTTGCAGTTATTTATCATGCTAAGATCATGCTTAAATGTTCTTCTACAGCATGGTATGCCAAAACTTTTATATTGAATTTGGAAACTGTCTGACAAACACTGTGGAATCTTACTGTGATTTATTAGTATAAGAAACCACAATTTTGAAAGATACTTACATCTATGTAAAGGCACCAAGAAATCCTTTTTAACATATAAAATTATACCCATATGCCACTTGTTATAAAAAAGAGTAAAGTATAACTCGTATAGGTCTATTAGCAAACAAAACTACTGTAAATCTCAACTATTGACTAACCTGAAGGTACGATATTCTGTTCTGCACCAGGTCCGACAGGTCCTTAGCTTCCTTCTCCCTCCACTCACCAGCTCCATCAGATTGACTGAGGTAGTACAGATCTGTCATGATGGACCTGCATGTGAGGAAAACAGGGGAAATGTTCACAGCCATGTAATCTTATGGAACTGCAGATGCATACACTCTATTAGGTATCTGTACAAGGTAACAGTTCTCTGGTCAAGAGGGGAACAGCCGCATTGAAGGGCTCTAACACATTACTTATATCCGTTTATTTTTTGCAGATGTGAATATCCACAATTATTTGGCCAATTTTAAAAGCCAGACACTTATCTCTTGACAATTTAGTACCAGGGTGGCTACTGACAGTTTTTACAAGTAAGAAACTGTAGCAATTACCTAAAAAAGAAGCCCTTAAGAAATACTTTTGGAAAAATAAACATTTATAGTGAAAATTCTAAGTCGAATAACCTAAGGACCGGTTTATAATGTTGCAGTAATATACTTTGAGAAACCCACATGAATAAACTGAAAATCTACCAAGAGATAATATTTTCTGTGGAGAAGGTTTTTGAGTTTTACCATGATGGTAATGTGGTATTTTTCCAACTTATAGAAAGGGTTTATTGCCAAGACCATGATGTAAGGCCATACTGTCAAAATGCCTTTTCTACACTGAAAGTGATTCATTAAACAAATAATGATGGTATGTAGCTTTTACTGGCAAGGGACATGCCTCATAATCAGCTGTAGTTAATATCAGTATATGCTTGCCAGTTGGAAATGTGTTTTGTTTATCAATTTAGCATACACACGTACTGCTGTATCAGGGAAGAATAGTAGCAAAATTAGAGAACAATTTTTAATTCTGAAAATAAAAGTATAAATCAACATGACTAAGACAGGCTGCTATCAGAAGATTGATCAAAGTAACTGAAGTTGATTTTGTCAGCTTGTACCTTAAACTACAGAATTATTATTTATTTCTGTTTCTGATCATGACACAAAAAAATCTTTAAGAGAAACTGTACAGAGAAAAGCAATACCTTGTAAAATTGTACAGCTCCTGTGCTTGAAAAATTACTAAATATGCATTTTAGTTAATCATTACAGAAAACTATGATTTTACACGCTACAGATGCAGCCATTCAAAGTTTGCGATATAGACACGTACCGGAGGTAATTGGCTACGGCGTCGCGCATTGTGACGCACAATGACGCGCGGTACCGCGGTACGTGATTGGTTGACCGACAGGGGCACTCGTGGTCCGTTGGTCTGTCGTAGAAAGATTTACAGTAAACGTCTTTACTGTGCCCGTTTTAGTATTAAGCCAGCAGCCATATCACCCTGCAACTCACAACTGGCAACCCACT